TACAAAATAAGAGAGAGGAGAGACAGAGCTCTCTTTTTTTCTGGAGTGCAGAGGGGGTCGGCCATTCTTTGGGTGGACACTTTCCATTGACTGTTCATCGGCAGGGTCCTCACCGAGTCCTTCAGTGGAGTGAAGAAAACTCCATCAGTGTTGGAATGAGGGCCAAAAACAAGACTGGTTAGCAACAGACCTGGACTGCAGTTGTGAATGGTCTTCACTCCCCCACAGAGGTGCTGCAGATGGTCGCTTTTTTTTGGTTGGTAGTGGGCTGAGTTTTTATTTTTCCTGGACATGAGCTTTAAATAAACTGAATTTGACTGTTGAACTGGCTAGGTAGACTTGCACTTAATTCATGTCACATCTCCTGCAGGGTGCCATGCATGTGGTCCGCGTCCTGCCTCAGAGAACAGACGATATCACGCTTGTTCAGAAATAGGGTTGCACAGATACCAAGTACAGTACTCGGTACAAGTACGAGTACAAGTACCGATACTTTTGAGCTCCAAGACTACACTAGAGAAAAATTCAAAAATTAGGAGGCAGCTGTCATTTATAAGGATCACACGGAGCTCCCGGGATTTGTACATCTCTGTTTTAATGTATGATTTGTTTTTATTAATATAAATAAAGGGATGCACAGATACCAGTTTTGCGAGTACAAGTACTGGTACTTGCCGAGTACTTACGAGTACGAGTACTGATACATTTTTGTTTATTGTCATGTGACAGTTTTTCTAAAACAATACAGACTAATGATTTCAGGACAGTGGTGGAGTGCCAGAGCCAGGTCCCAGCTGCAACAACTGCAACCCTGGCAGTTTTCATGAAAATGCCAAGTATCTGCACTGGTACTCAAAAAGTATCTGTGCATCCCTATTCAGAAAGGTGGTGCAGCATAAGCGGCTGTTTCTCTGGAATTGTAATGTCTTGTTAGGGTGAGAAAAACCTGCTAAGGTTTTTTTTTCCATACATTTGCATTAGTAGAACTCTTTTTATAATTCATAAATGAACTGGGGACAGGGTCATAGGGGGCCAAGGCTCATTGATGCATGTGGGGTGTGAGATAACAACAGTGGATCTTATTTGTGTATCACTCGGCTGTAGATCCTCCAATCATCTCTGAATTGGTGCTGACACTGTCCTTCCTTCTGGAGGGTGGCTACTTTTGTTCCCCATGGTCCCCGTGTGTGTTGTAAAGTAGTCACCGCTCCAAGCTCGCTCCCGGGATGGACTACAATCTTAAGCTTGTGGCAACAGTTTGATGAAGGTTAATTTCTGTTCATGCATGACTGTGCTCAGTGAACAAAGCCAGCTCCATAAAGACATGGTTTGATCAGCTTGGCGTGGAAGAATTTAAGTGTCCTGCACGGAGCCCTGACCTTATTCCTTTTGACATATTTGGGATATCATGGAATGCTTATTTCAAGCCAGGTCTTCTCACCGGTACCTGAACTGATAAATGCTCTTTAGGATGAATGGGCACCAATTCCCACAAACACACACCAGAATCTTGTGGAAAGCCCCCAAAAGTGGCAAAGGAATGCGATTAATGTATTAATGGCCATGGTTTAGGAATAGGAGGCCAACAAGCTCCCAGTGTGAACTGGGACTGATGTTTTGGCATTAGATACATTTTAACATACTGTAACATGGACACTCAACTGTAGCCAGAAAATTCAAGCAAAACGCAGTTTATTAAGGCAAACACAAAATGTCTCTGTTCATCCACAGGCTAGCCTTCCCCTGTTACACAAGACAGCTTCCAGCAGCAACATAAAAGACAGTCCTTTGTAGCATATATAGTCCTTAGTATTGCTCAGTAGCTTTCCTCAGCTCCAAGCACACCTCGGTGATACTCACACTGCTCTCCCAGCAGTGTGTCCAATAGGTCCCTTGGGTCACCGACCTTCCTGACCTCTCCCAGTCTTCCCCACCTGTGTCCGTGTGCCTCCTGCACACATGCACACACAACTCCACCAACTCTGAGCTCTGGGCTTGTTTCTTAATGAGGCTGCTCTCAGCCACCTGATCAACCCAGGCTGGTCATTGGCAACACCTGGCCCCGGGACTGGAGATTTCATCCCACCCAGAGCTCTAAGAAATCTCCAGAGCTCCAGATCCCAGCCACAATTCTGAAAACCTGGAAGAATCTGAAAGGCCAGGTCCTTCCTTATCAAATGGTTTACACTCTGGACCCTCTCAGCCCCTCTGGCTGAGAATCCTGGGTGCCATAGTTGCCAAACTACACCGTGTCATTGGCTTACACTGCCACAATACTTTCAGGGAGGGAGAGAGAGAATTTACTGTTCTGATTCACTCACATGTGTGTGTAGAAATTTCAGAATGAGTTATTGAGCTCTGTACTCAACATACATACCTAAAACCTATCCAGTTGGTTTAATTTTTTTATATATAATATTCAGACAAAAAGAAAAAATAATAAAAATATATTTTTAACTTTCTTTTGTAAACAAAATAACAAAAGAAGAAAGGTTAAAACAAATGATGACACTGTATCTTGCTCCTTACCCTGACCCCCGGAGGCCAAAACCATCTAGGAATGTAAAATATTAATTTGCTGTGAGGATTTCTGACTCCTGCTGCTGCTTGACTCATGAGACAGATAACAAAGATAATCCCTCATGACCTCATGAATTTCTACTTCTATTACCATCTCATATAAATATATGTTGCTTTTCAGATGCTTTTCAGATGCACAACACCAGCCAGAGACACTTGATATACTAAAAAAAGGTTCTTCTTCATAGAAAAGTGTCTTCATCCCTATGGGGTTTCCATGTAACAACACCATAACCTGTTCTTCAAACCTCTTCCACGTTGGTCAGTTTTGTTCATTGGCAGTTTTCTCCTCTATAGTAGAAAAGCATTTAATAGACCCCACCACATCCTTTTTCCTCTTTTGTATGTTCAAATGAAAACTTTATTCATACATCATGTTGCTGACCATTATTGACTGTGTATAATAAAGGATTACATGCCACCATCCTGCCTCTACAGAACAATCCCGTTGGAGGATTGCTGAGGTGCGTATACACTTTGTGCATATTTGTTGGTGGAATAATGTATTGTGTACTTACTGCCCAACCATTCTGGCTCCATGCACCTACACTTCATGGCCAAAGGTTTATTGAACACCTTAAAATTAAATCTGTGTATATAGTTTGTTTGACATCCCATTTCTAAGCCATGGGCATTAATACAGGTATATGGCATATCTTTGGGGCTATAACAATTTCTGCTCTTTTAGGAAGGCTTGCCACAAAATTTTGGAGTGTGTCAGAAGGAAAGGGCATTTCTGACGTCCTGATGGAAAAAAAATAAGACCTGCCTCACAATCAGCTTTTACAATTCAACCAAAAGGAGATCAGTAGGAGATCAGTAGGGTTGAGGTCAGTGCAGATCACTTTAACTCCTCCACATCAGAGTGGTCAAACCAAGTCTTCATGGAGCCGGCTTAGCTGGAACAGAATTTTGCCACAAGGTTAGAAGTGTGTAATGGTCTAATAAGTCTTTGAATGCCTTCCTGGAAACACATGAACACAATAATTTAGAGGGGTTCCCACATACTTTTGGCCATTTATTGTATAAATAAACAATGGTTGGTTATATATTTTTCTACCGTAGATTAAGAATTTGCCTGTTCTTCAGTTGCTAGAGCTAAGTGTACTGACACAGAGAGAGGCCATACTATGTCAACATTACTGTCCTCGACCTTGGCTTGCCTTGCTTGGCTATGATATCTAATCATGTCCGTGTAATTTTAAGGCTAGCTAGTTGACTAGGGTAGGCGGGTTGGTCCAGAGGGCTACATTTCCCTATAATAGCCAGGACAGAAGCTAAGGATTAGTGAATATATGGATATAGGAAATTCTGTATTCTATATAAAAAAGCAACATGTGTGTATAGTTCCTTGATTAGCAATGTGATAAACTGTGAGTAGCACAAATTGTTGCATTTGCGCAACTCTTTCAAGTTTGTTCATGTTGTGGTCTAGTTAATGTCTTGCTTGGCTGAGGAATAAACCAAGTGACCTGATGTCCATTACTTAGTCACCCATGCCGTACTATACACATTCTACACTGGTTCAACTTCCCGGAAACAACCTCAATCAAAGCCAAAATACCAGGTTTAGGGGGACCAGACATTTAAATCGTTGCACCCAGTTTTATTTAATTTGATGGAATTCGGATGTCCTGAGGCAGGCATGGTATTCTATATATGGTGGTCTTGCCTATGTGTGCAACGCCTTTGGTGCAAGGTTTACCGCCTGCTACGTTTCCTATTGCTTTCTTCCCTTCCCATGTCCCCTGTCGAAGCATTGCTGAACTTGAGACCTGCCACTCTTCCTAAACACGAGTTTGCTCTGATGACACATATCTTAACTGCGGCTAAGCTAGTTATCGCAAGATCCTGGAACTCCCCTCCTCTCTCTTTTGCAGCGGTAATCCTGCATCCATGCCACACTATCCAATGAAAAACTCTCTGCAAAGAAGTCAGATTCTTTGGCAAAGTTCCAGAAGATATGGGAACCATGGCTCTTGCGATACCTACCCCCGGGCTTCGATCGCCGCCTGTTAACACTTTGAGACCCCACCGTCCTCGCCACTTCACCACCACATCACACCACAATTTTTCGGGATTGCTCTGCACCCGGAAACACATATACCTCTCTTTCCTTTTCTCCTTCCCTTTCCCTTCCTACTCTTCTCCCATTCCTCTGCCCCCCCCCACCCTTCCTACT